CCCCAAAACCCCAAAACCCCAAAACCCCAAAACCCCATCAAGCAAGATCAATGGTTAAATTAAAAATTCTAAATATTTAGGAAATTTATAGAAATATTAATAATTATTTCAATCAATCATGTTAAAATACACTCATAATTATCAAGTAGCTGCTCAAACACTCTCAATTTAGAACACTCGCATAACTGGAAATTCTTTATTAGCAAGATCTTTTCTAGGACAAAGACGACAATTTTTCAATTTGCACAGGGAATTCATGGTAAAAAATGGAAATCTATAGAAGGGAAATAATGGGAGACAAATGCAGTAGTTTTACTTTTCATAGACAAATGCATTCTCTACATTTAGTATTATTTTATCTACCTCATAGTAAGTCTATCATATTTTCCCCAATTTCTAACCAATTTTTCATTGTTATTTAGATCGTTTTTGAAAAGAATAAAGAGAATGATACTTAAGAGAATAGTTGTCTTCCGTTTGTTATTCTATGGCTCTTTAATTCTTACCCTAGGAACATTTATGCAGGCTAATAAAGTATCTGAGAGCTCTAAGTCAGTCACTCCTTCATTTTTCCTAATGCATTCTACTCTACAAGGATAGCGCTACAAGCTTTCAGGCGTAATTAAAAGTGGTTCGATAGAGATAAAAAAAGGAACTCTAGAGAATAAATTTATTGTGACTGATTTTAAAAATGAGATAGCAGTGCTATTCAAGGGCCCATTACCTCCTACTTTCAGAGAGGGTGATATGGCTACAATGGGTGGATTTTTGGCTGATCCTAAGAATCCAACAGTATTTGTGTGCACTAGCGTCTAAGCTAATCATGAAATCTCCCCAGATAGATGGCTTGGAGAAACTGGATTGGATAAAGCTACTAGCATGAATATGATTGAAACTAGTGAAGACTTTGAATTCACAAAGATGAAATGAAAGAGGCCACTTAGAAATTTATGAACTAAGCCCCAATTCGCAAGAGTTTTTGCTAGTTCATTTAACCTCTTTTTATTTAAATTTATGTAAATAAGAAATTTATGGGCATATGAGTTAAGATTTAAAGATAATTATAATTAACATCCTCTAATGTTTTTTTCATCTCATTATAGCATTTAGCTGTTGAAATACGTATTTATCACCTAGCTAGAAAGAGAGTTCAAATTTTTATGATTGATGGTTATGTTTATCATAGTTACTACAAATTTTCCCTCATGTGATTTTTCAATTCTATGAACTGCTCATCATCTAAAATGTATAAATTCAACACTATAAGTATTACCTCTTTCAGGCTAGAATTCTCCTATAAACTTAAATAGCATATCTCTGTTCTTAATTAATATGACTGTTGATTCACTATCTGCTTGCTGATTTACAAGTAAGAAAAGAGAGAGCAACAAAAATGCCTCATACTATATTCCTTTATTTTCATTTATGACAGTATTCATTATGATCTTCAGTCTATCTTTGCTTGCTACATAGTACTCCCTAATTTTCTAATGCAGCTTCAATAGTTGATAAAGAGTCTTTAGGCCTTCTCTTTTAGCAAAGTAGTTTTCATCCTATTCTAGATAGTCAAAAACCTATAATATTTCTTCCTAGTTTTCATGTAAGAACTTTACAAAGCCTTCATCTCCTTCTCTTTTTTACAAAAATAATTCCTATGAAAGTTCAGTTAAATTGCATAGAAATATTGAGGATAAAAAATATAAAACTAAAAAATACCTTGAATGTCTCGAAAGAATCACTAGAGATGTTAAAATCAGCAGTAGTAACAAGCTAAGATAATTTCTTGATTGTCTCGATATTAGACATAGAATCAATTAATTTCTAAAATGTTGATGACGATGTATAGTGATTACACTCGACTTAGTAAAAAGCCTTAGGATTGAGCCTACAAATACAGCCATTCCAGCTTGAGTGTATTTACTAATAAGGCTATGTACTATATCAGTTCTTCTTGGGTAGAGTGCAGCTTCTATAATGTCAGGAAAGTTGTTATTTAACTCAGTAAAAATAGATTGAATGGTCTTTCTGTCCTCAAGCTCAAACTAATCGACATTAATGAGAACGAAGGCAACCTATTCAACTAAGTTATTAAGCTCAGCTGCCATTTTGTATAGGTTTTCCTAAAATAGTAAAATTGACTAGGTATTAAGAATACTGGAGTGTTAGAGATTTTTTTACAGGTACCATCCATGACCTGAGAAATTCTTTGCAAATATTTGTTAAACTTTTTGCCGTATTTGCTATCACTTGCAGCTTGTTTACCTATGCTTTGCTTACACTTTAAGTATGAGCATGAAGCTAATAGTGAGATATTAGACACTTAAGAAAGAGTAATTACAGACTATAAAGCAGTTCATGTTTTACTCAGCAGTCTTTTTAACTTTGCCGAAGTGAGTTTGATTTTTTTTCATTGAAATTTAAAATATTTTAACTATTATTTAGATAATCTTATTATAATATTTGAATCATACTTATCAAAATTAAATGCAAAATAATAAAATTTCAATGATAACTTTAACAACTATTGCAACATATATCATTTTCAGCTAATAAGGAATAAAATGTGTTTCCTATAACACAGACCTCCTAGAAATAAAAGATGAAATCATACTTTATAATAGAAATACTTCAGAGCAGATTACTCAAGCGACCCTCTACCCATTTCCATTTATTGAAAAGGTAAGTATCAAGCTACTCTCTTTATTTCGCGAGTGATTGTGACAATATTTCGTCTACTTATGAAGTTTATTTGCAAACTTTCATAGCATAAGAATAAATTTTTTCAAACCAACATTTATCGAAATGGTTTCGCTCACACCCTTTCAAAGAAGATATATAAATATAATTGCGATATTGCAACTCATTTTTTTCTAAAGTTCACAACAAATATAACTATTCGTGGAGTTTTATGCTATGCAGAGTCAGTTGATTAATTTTAAGAAAACTGTATTGGAAATGATATACACAGAGATATTGTAAGTTTAATTTATAAAAGCGTAATTATTTAGGTGCTGTTGAATCCTTTTGATGAGACAAAGACAAATGATTTATTGAGTTATATTCAAGACTATAACGTTTACGCTCTTATCATTGGAAGTACAACTCAAGTTGATTCTGGCGGCTATTATTACAAGCCTGTAAAGTCATACAATTTTTAATGATAAAAATTTTAGGCTATCATCTCATTAGTTCATCCAAATATGATGGAGGAATTAAGAACATACTCAATATCCTATGGTTAAGATCTTATTGCTGAGGTTAAGCACTAATATCTGACTAATTGCTAGGCTTTGAACAATGTCTAGATGTATTTCTTTGGCTTGTGTACACTTTATGGACTAATCATTTTAATGTGGAATATGTCAATCTTATTTATCTATAATGATCAGCAGAATACACTTTAGAAAGCACTTCTGATTATTCCTATTTTCAAGCTCTTGAGGCTATCTATCTATACTTTTTACATTGGTGAGTGCCCGTGGACAGACTAATTAACAGGCAGATATCTCATGATGGCACTAGTCACTGTTTCAACCATTTATCAAACAGTGTTTATGGCTATTTTGCTTCTCATAAGCAAAGGATGGCTTCTAACTCGCTAAAGTCTTTCTAGATCATAAGCTACTCTTACAACTGTGCTTATGGGTTTTGTTTATTTATCTTATAGTGCCTATTATGTTTCTCAAAATGTTGCTGAAATCAAGAATCTAGTGACTATCATCATCAATATTCTTTACTTCTGCTTGTATGTTTATATTGTAAGAAATACTCTCATTGTGTTGGTAAACTTAAGATCGCATCTAAATGTTTTGAGAACAAATAATATTGGAAATCTACAAGAGACACTGATTTTAAAAATCTCAATAATGAGATATTTCGCATTTATTGCCACTGCTTACTTTTCATTTGAGATTGTAGCTCACGGTATTCTACCTTACTATCTCCTAAGTGATGGATTCGACAGTCTTACAACGATATTATACTAGATAATTGATTTAATAATATTATCATGCCTACTCTGGACTCTAAGACCGAGATAATGGCCTGAATATTTCAATCTAGGGATCCTAGAAGATTTTGGATTCAGTTATTAACATAATGATAATCAATAATCAATTCAACTTGCTCCAATGAGAGAGGCTTTGATAGATAGGGATCTATAAAGTCTAAATACGAGTGATCCAAATCATAGTTTTAGATCAGATCAGCAAATATTGATCTATAACCCATTATTTGTTGACAGCTTTGAAGATAATGATAAAATCATTAATTTGGAATCGAATTGCGGATATTAAGTTCTTTAAGATGAAGAGGAGGTCAAATAATCCTAGAGGACAGCTCTAAGTTAAAAGATACTCAGATCATTAAAGTTAGGTACCAAAGAAAAAGGTAAATCTTTTAATAAGAAATTAAAAGCAAGCTGAAATATAATTAATCTTCGACTTTGTGGAAATTAATAATATTTTATTCAAATAATAATTCGAAGTAAAAAACATGTGCAACTCTCAAATCGATGGGGTTTTGGGGTTTTGGGGTTTTGGGG